TATGATCCCTCACTAATATCACTATCAACATGAATATAAGAGTAATCCAAATGGGTTGATATTAGTGAGGGTCAAGTATATCTTGATTTACTAATTTTTTCGAATGTTTCAATTAATTGTAGTTTTAAGATCTTAGCTATATATTTACCAATAATAAATATATGGCATTGTTGACGAGGACTATTAAGGTGTGAAAAGTCCGTCCTTTGAATTGACTTAGCTGGATGACTTGCATTGAAGATTTGACCTATATCGATATAGTCTATACCAAAACTTTGTAAGGAATTTTATTAGAACGAGAAGGTAAAAAGCATGACTTTATATTATAATAAAGTTAGACCGTGTGGTTGATTTGCATCGAAGATTTGACCTATATCGATATAGTCTATACAAAAATTTTTGTAAGGAATTTTATTAGTAAAAAGCGTGACTTTATATTGTAATATGATTGGTCAATCAATGTTGTGTAACCAGTGGCCGTGAAATCGGATCAAGTATAAATATTCTAACGCTAATTTCAACCTTCTAACACTCTCAACCATGGCAGAAGCTATATCGGAAATGCAAAAACTTGTAAAGGAAGCTTCAGATATAAAATATATATCTGGAGCCTCACTAAAAACTTATTTCCGTTCGGCAAATGCTTTGTTAAGACAGGTATTTTTCAACAATACATTTCCATTACATTGCTTAGCATTTAACAAAAGTATCTTTCTAATAGGCAAATCGATATAAAGAAGAAAATGACTTAATCAACGCATATAAATTCTATATGAGATATGCAACGTAACTAATTCAAATTAATCTAGCTTATAAAAAAAAAAAAAAAAAAAGAAAAAAGCATACACAAAACCTAAAGATGCCTGAATTAAATCTATAGGCTGGCGCTCGAAAAGTTACCCAATCACCCGGAATATAAAAAATCTGAACATAAGGCTGGAAAAGTAGAACTTTCCAAAGTATCAAACGAGTTTAATTATGATCAGTGTTGATGAATTCAATTAAAAATTTCATTCCTCATATCGAATGTTTTATTTTTTAGAATTCACAGATTGTTCTAGGAGAAATTGAAAAGCTCAAACCTATCCTTCAAGAACACTTTCGGCACTCCGCAGAAAAAGAGTTAATAATAAAAGATGTGTCTTTGAGTTCGATCGAGAGTCAGAAAGATCAAACTCAAGAATATAATAATAAGGACTATCATAACGATGAAAATGATCAGAACAGAGAATACGATGATCAAAATGATTATCAAAACAAAAGTTATCAAAGTCAAGGACTTCAAAATCAAATTCCGGAATCGTCTCTGGATTTGGTAGAACAGCTTAAAAACATCAATTTGCATTCGACATCTCCTGAAATAACGTATGTTTAATGATAATAAATTAGCATTTCTATATTATTCTTTTGTAATTTGACATCTTCTATTAAAGTAAACCAGAAGAACAATTGCATCCAAAGGTACTTTACATTCTTAAATTTTTGGACAAGATATTCTGCATGGGCTTATTTTGATTATTCTGGATGATTCAATAGGTTTATTACCCCAATGTTTCAGAACGAAATCGAAGTGACGGGTATAAACTGGATCTTTTATTCTTCGTCTAATTATATCAGTTTATATATCTGGTTGTAATTTATTTTAAACGTAATAGATATCATTATTCTGCACATACACCGCGTGCAGTATCATCACAAGCATTATCATTTTATGATGCGCCATTATCGGACTTTCCACCTTCTGTAGAATCATCACAAGCATTATCATCTCAAGTAATACCATCACCAGTGTTATCGCGTCAAATACCGCCTTCAATAGTACCATCACCAGTATTATCTCGACACATAACACCCCCTGCATTACCTCCCAAAGTGAGAAACGAGGCACCTCTGTTACCGCCAAAGCCGAACGGATATAGTGTAGAAGAATTAGTTTCCAACAAACATGATCATTTTAAGGCCATTAAAGATTATGGTTTGCAGCCAGGTACAAACAGATAGTATAGATAGTCTCTTTGTTTTAATATTGCAACATTCATTTTCTAAAAAGATTATATACTTAGAGTACCAAGCATATACCGAAGGTGGAGAGGGTCTTCGAAAAGTATATCTTCCTGATGATATCTATGAGATATTTGTTAAGGTCGCTTCCAAAAATACAGAAAAGAATTTGGAAACGTGTGGAATTTTGTTTGGTAGTTTGGTAAATTATAGTTTAATTAATTCTTTTATTTATCTTTGTAATCATGTGTTTACTGATAATATTGCTATTTTCTATTATAAGTCACATAATGTTTTCTATGTCACAACGTTGATAATTCCTAAACAAACTGCAACATCTGATACCTGTGAAGTTACTAATGAAGAAGACCTTATCGAATATGAAGAAAAAGGATTGATGATACTTGGTTGGATACACGTAATAGTCATTGCATTATTATCTTTTTTTATTTGAGTGCTGCCAAGGGAAAACCTGTCATTGGGCTTGTTTGTTTACCGAGTGTCGCCTAGGGAAAATCTATCATCAGGCTTCCAATTATATTTTGTGGCGAGTTGTTACAAACTATAATCAAAAGCCCGATGATAAATTTTCCCAGACGGCACTCAGTAAGCAAACTGAACATTGAAAACCCAATGACAGGTTTTCCATTGACAGCACTCATTTCATACATTTCATATTCGTTTAAGCTTTATCGCAATTGTTTCAGACACATCCAACACAGACTTGTTTCATGAGTTCAATGGATCTACATACACATTCTTCTTTTCAAGTTATTTCTCCCGAGGCAATAGCTATCGTATGTGCTCCAAAGAAATACCCAAAGTTAGTTAAATAATTTAATTAAAATCCTTAGAGTTCTGCCTAAATTGGTGTTGCGAACTAAGCTGGAACATTTATTCCGGACTTTGAGGACTATTTGTCCTACAATACTATTACATAGTGTTATAAATTAAATCGAAACGTTTCGGACTCTAAAAAGCAGTTTAGTCGCAGCACTAATCAAAATCAAGAAACTTAACGGTTTTCTTTAAATTACTTAGTTTTGGCATATTTCGTCTCACAAATCCGCCGGGATTACAAAAAGTGCTTGAGTGTACCTTAAGAGGTTTTCATCCCCATGAATGTGACGAACCTATTGACAGGGTAAGTTGACATAGTTTGTTCACAATAGTGCAGGATTTTTTTTTTTTATAATATTTTCGAAATGACCATTAATAGGAAATCACCGAGAATGGCCATATCATAATGAAAAGGATGGCACTTGATGTTATTGATTTACGTTGAGACTATTAACGAATGTACTGTAACCAGCATTTAAAATTCGAATTAGATTTTATGTTCTCAAAAAATCCCAAAAAATTTTTAATGTCTTCAATATAAGAAAAATTGATTTTTTTAATATAAAAAAATTGTCAAATGGAAACTTTTTTAACAATTCATGTTTATAAAAATTAAGTGATTTTTGAGGATAGTGAGAATGCCAAATTTTAACCGCTAACATTAGTTCGCCTAGATGTGATAGGTTTTTATTCAAATGATATTATATTGAAAGATAGAAATTTTTAGAACTAAGTGACATATGAATTAAATTTTGTTGATTTTGTTATTTATTTATGCCGAGAATACAACTATATTCTCTCCCATTTTATAAAGAACCATAATAGAAAGAATTGTATTTATAAAATTACATTTTTTTTTAAATCATGTGTGAGAATGATTATGGAAGTCAATATGTTTTTTGACTCATTCCAAAGAAGCTTAAGATTTGTCAGAGAGCTAGGTGGCATGCTATTTGTGTTATTCTATTTATGAAAGAAGAAGCAGCTTAATTATAAAAGGTTATAAAGCATTTCATCTGTAAAAAACACTCACTAGTCTTTCTATCATTAAATCATATTTCTTTATCAACTCTTCACAGGCTGAATTGATCCATTCATAAGCTTCAATTTCATTTTCATAACTTACAATTTCACACTTTCCAGATATGGTTTTCTGCCATTTTGTTATTAGACGCTGTGTTTCGTGTGATGATATGTCATTAAACGGTCGAAGAAAACGAAGACGCAGGGCTGTCAGAAGACGAAATGATATCTGGGATGCATGTAGAGTGTAATCACTTTTTTGTTTAAAAAAAAATATATATGTATACATGTCAGAATGAATTTGGTGGGTTGAGTGTTATAACCGATGCTTAAGAACAAGTATTGTATATCTACAACATCTGATAATATAGTTTCCATCCGTAGGTTGTATAATTTTAAATAGGGATCGGACCCGAGTAGAACTTTACTATGAGTACATAATACTTTACCCGTCTAACCAGGGTATTCTAATAATACAAATAGAGATTTCTCGACGGGTCCAATCCTCAGTTTTTTTGTCGACATTAAATAAAATATATAGTGAGATATAAACAGTGATTAAAATATCAATGCTATATAAGCAATAATCAAGTCCAGTACAACAGATGACCTATACTATAATAGATTGATTTTATTGATAGGATAGACTTGAACCAAAATTAATTACATACCCATAAAATCCACTTGCCATCAATAAACTTAATTTTTTAGATGTAACATATTCATCCTCATGAATATTAAATTTAAAAAATTCATCATCAAGTAAAATGTAATTAAAGGGATTATTTGGGATAGTGAATCCGTAGTCAAGTAACAATTTAAAATTATCATGCGGACCATAGTTTATAAATACCTTGTTTCAACATACAGTATATATTAAAAAAAAAGCTCTTTAAAGAGATTAAGTTGAATATAAATTAATTACTTGTTGTCCCTTTTTCCATGATGTGAAAGTTATAATCTCATAACATTGGGTCAATTTATTAAATTCACCTTTGGTCTTTAGAAAAAAAATATATAGTTTTATTTACAGTATTTTTACAGTATTTATATTTTCTTAGTATATTTATGATGAATAAAATAAATACCTTTGCATTAAAATTATGATTTAAAAAATCTAACATTGGAGCTATAGCAATGTTCTCCCTAACATCACAATTTATAAATTTAAAAGGCTCAAAATAAATACACCTAGTATTAACTAAATAATAAATCAATATATATAGTTATTTATAATAAGCAGTTTTTTTTAACATAAAATCCATTATATAAATCAATAAATACCACAAAGCCAACCCCATAAAAATTCATTATATGTAATATTGATATTAGAGTTTAATTGGTTCTATAAATAAACATATATACAGTTATATAAATCAAAACTTGAATTTAATAATAAAGTTCGAAATTAAACATACCTTTAAAAATTTACAAACAGATCTAAAATCTTCTTGAAACTTTAATTTTTGAGATTTGACATCCTCTATATAATAATTGATAATAATTATACATAAAAAAGATAAATATCTTTGTATTTTATAAAAGTATATAAAACACAAATCATTACCTTTCAAGTTGTTAGGTAATAATTCTAACAATTCCAAATCGAAACATATTGGAATTGTATCAAAACTCTTTGGTAACATTTGAATATAAGGGTAAATGGAGCTTTTAGTATTTTTATGTCGTTCTAAAATTAGGTAAAGTGCTAGGGATTGATGTGCATTAAGCTTTGGATCTGTTATATTACTTTGTTTCAAATATTAATAATGTTATGGAAATTGAGATTTAAAATAATAAATTGAATTGATATATGAAAAATAATTTTATAATACCATGAAATGTGATCACTTAACAACGTATTAGATGAGAATTTAGGTGTAATGATTAATCTTAAGGGAACAGATATTAGTATTTCTCCAGCCTGATGAAATGATGGGATTAAAACATTTTTAAATGTTGTTACTTTGTATATATTATTTAACCTTTATTAATAAAAAAAAATTAGAAAAAACTTAACGACAATATCCTTTGTCGCCATCATGCCTCTTCCAATACCTGCAGTGAAGTTTCAAATAAAACATCTGAGCACATATATTCATTCTTATATGTTATAAAATTACCATCGAATTTAGCCAAAGTTAATTTTGTTTTTGGAAATCCTTTTTGTTTTAACCAATCACGGAACATTATCCATTCTATATCTTTAATTACTATCAAGAAAAATAAGACGTATCAATGAATAAGGAAGGTTCATTAGGGAAGAGCAGTGTTGATATTTTGACTAATTGAAGATAATATGACAATCTATGGACAGTAATTTTTAATTAGACATATAGCATTTGGACTATGTTCAAATATATTCAAAAAATATAGAATAGTCCGAATGTCAACACTAGGGAAGAGTATATAATAACTTTTAAACTTGAAGGCAAACCTTTGCCTCTATCGAGTCTGTTATGTAATTGCTGATTCAGCCGTTTTCTGAACGTACGACCTAAGCGAGATTTTCTAGGATTAGGCATGTTTTTCAATCATTTCTTGTAAGGGAAAAAAAAAACGGATATATTTATAAACGGAAATTGATCTGCTAATAATTTAACTAATTAAAGAACTAATTAAAGATAAACAAACTATTGGAAGTGATTAATACATGTAGCAACTTTCGATAGCATGCCAACGCGATATCTCCCAAGATTTACGTTAACCAGTCATTT